AGTACCCCGATCTAAGATCAAGTTTAGAAAAGTACCTAGCGTTCCCCAATCGATCGAATAAATCTGCCACAAGAGGAATGGGGTATTTGTTCTTCACAGTGATCATGTTCAACACTCGGTAGTCTATGCACATGCGCAAGCTTCCGTCATGTTTGCACTGGAACAAAACAGGTGCCCCATATGGTGCCTTAGATGGCTGAATAAAACCCGCATTGAGCAGCTCCTTTAACTGGTTTCGTAGCTCCTCAAGCTCAGGTGGGGCCATCCTATAAGGTGCCATGGCTGGAGCCTGGAGGTCTCGCCCCAGGTTCCAGCTTGATCTCATGATCCACTTCCCTTCTAGGGGGAAGCCTTTTGGGAAGTTCCGGAGGCATGACATCTTCAAACTCCTTAAGAACTCTGGAAACTTCCAATGGCACCTCTTGTTGCCCTTCGGGTTTTTATTCAACAATCGTCGCAAATGTTTCTTGCTTCCTCTTGATGCCTTTGTTGAGCTGTATTGTAGACAACATATTGGCTTCTGCTTTCTCTCGGGCAATAGGGACTGACCATGCTCCTTGTCCCCTCTTGATGGTCAACGAACCATCTTCCTTAAAAGTGATGGCTTCACTGAATCCATGAACTCCAACCCAAGCACCAAGTTGAAATCGTCCATATCGACGACCGTAAAGTGCCATTGTCCCCTTCCATTCACCCAACTGAAGTGGGACTCTATGAGCCACACCGTGGATTGGTGCAGGCGTAGTGTTCACCGTCTTCAAAGAACCCTTCTTCTTGGTGAACTTAATACCCAATCTTGTGGCTTCTTTAAGTGTCACAAAGTTGTGGGTAGCACCAGTGTCAACGAGTGCTTTTGAAGCCTTTCCCCCCCCCAACTATAGCCTCAACAAACAAAAAATAAGGCTTTATATCCCGGGGCAGTGTACCTACCTTGGCCAGGTCTTTGTCCCCTCGGGTTCCTTCACCGTGGCCTTGACACTATTGCATAGGCGCAACGTCCCCATTGTGCCTCATCCCCTGACGACTCCCTAGGTGAAGTAGCCATGATAGCATTTAGCTCTTCTTTTGTGGGCACTCCCTGGCCAAATGATCGCCCTCGCATAGGAAGCAATTCAAACGCTTTGACTTCCGGTCCGAGTGGGATCTCTCCTTATCCTTATCCTTCTTCTCAGACGATTTACCACCATTGTGGCTTCGTTCGGTGGGCTTGGCTCCCCCACCTTTCCCTTTGTTACCGCTACTCTTGTTGCCTCTCTCCTTCTTCGACTCTTGCTTGAACTCGTACAAGGATTCGACGGCAGCGATGGCATCAGCAAGAGTTTGGACATTTCGGCGCTTCAACTCCTGCTCGGCCCACCGTTGTAGACCATCCATGAAGTAGAGAAGCTGAGTCTTCTCCGACATCTCAGTCACTTCTAGCATGAGTGAAGTGAACTGTTTAATATATTCTTTGGCCGACCCAGTATGCTTCAACCCACGCAAATTCTTTATGGCAACCTCCTCCGAATTTTCTGGATAGACTTGCTTCTTGAGGTCGCTCTTGAACTCGTCCCAGGTGTTGAGTTGAACAACACCCTTCTTGATGTCGGTCTCGCGTCTTCTCCACTAAAGAATGGCACCATCCTCCAAGTACATAGTAGCGGTGTTGATTTTAGATGCATCATCCTCCAAATGCATCGCACCAAAGTACTTCTCGATGCTCCATATGAAGTTCTCAAACTCCTTTGCGTTGCGCTTCCCGTTGTACTTTGGTGGTTCGGAAACCTTTAACCTAGGTCCTTCCCGAACAGTGGCACCCCCGGCCATGGCCGACTTGCATAGCACAACGTCGGCGTGCAAGGTTTCAATCTTCTCCATCGAGCTGGTCCTCCTTTCCACCGAGTCAATTGTGGACATGAGGAGATCCTTCAGTTGGGCCATCTCTGCCCTAATATCTCCAGCCACCTGACAGACCAAAGATTGGATTTCCACCTTCGCCTCTTCGGTCCCGGACTCAAGGTCCTTAACCCTTCCCTCAATATCATCGTAATGCTCGGTGAGGTCATTGATGTTGTCTCGGTGCTCTACGCTGGCTTGCACTACCCTAGCCACTTTCTCTTCAAGCACAGTAGTGCGACTAGCCTTCTTACCGGGGTTTCCTTCCTCCACCCCCGAGGTAGGAACATCTTCCTTTGTTTGTGCCATTATCCCGACTCCGCACTTAACTTCTTACACCAACTAGCTCACAAACGTAACAGATCGTCCCCTTTGATCGACGTTGCTCTGATACCACTTGTCACGTGCTGACTACTTTTCCCAAGTCCTTTGCACGCGGCCTACTAGAGTCACCTCCCGTTAGACTACTAGTCAAGGCTCCTCGAATGCTCAACAAAGCTAAGTGTTGGCGTTGTGGGTTAAGTGTGGTTGGCTTGGAAAGCACAAGTGAGAATGTAAGAGACAGCTTTAGAAAGGATGCTTTTATAAATGCTTGAGAGAGTACAAGTGTTGAATATCTCAAAAATGTGTGGGAGGTTTCCGATTTATAGGCTCCTTCCTTTGTCTAGAATGTTCTAGCCTAGATAATTCTTGACCTCCTCAAATGGAGGGTTCTAGAGACCTCTATACCATTCTGAGTACATACAACTTAATTACAATAGTCTAGAAGCATCTACAAAGATCTAGCCTCTAAAGTATGTACAAGTTATCCCTAGAGTGTTCTAGAGACTTCCGGGTGCATCTTGAGCTCTCCCGTACATTCTAGATAGTTGTGGGCCCCATCTTCCAAATTTGATTGCACCATCATTCTCATTGGTCCCAAAAACGGTGGATTACCAAGTTTGGGCTCATTTGGAGTCCATTTGGCCCAGCCCATGGCCTATTATTGTGTTACTGTCATGGGCGTGTTCACTAGGTATAATGGCAGTCTGCTATATAAAGCTCTATAGGGGGAATGTGCTCTGGTCTAGCCAGCCATGCACCAAGGGCAAGCCCCCTAGGCCACGATTATGTCTTGTTGCCTTGTGACCCTAGTGAGGGGTGGGGATGTGTGGGTCGTGACCATCGTTGTCAAAATCGCGATCCGGATCGTGCGATCCTACGATCCCATTTTAGCCAAATGCTTCGAATCGGATGCAGAATCGCAGAGTAAGCAGGATCGTTGTAGGATCAGTCAGGATCGCACAGGATCGTACAGGATCGGGTGGGATCGGACGATCCTGTTTTTCAATTAAACTATTATTAGTTTGTACAGGATCGATTAGGATCGGACAGAATCATGCATGATCGGTCAGAATCGAGTAAGATCGGTTAAGATCGTACGATCTTCCTTTTAACTTATTTAAATGAGCCTAATGTAATCAAACTTTTCTCTAAGCTAAGAAAATTACTATCCAACTACTAAAACTATAAATTTTACCATTTTTATGGCTTAAAAAATGTTATCTAATTATGTAACAACCCTTTTATTACTATTTTTATCAATTTTGTAGAATCTTACGATTCTACGATTCGATTTTGCCGATTCGATCCTACTCCTCTCACCGATCCAAAGTAGGATCCCGATCCTTATAACCTTGGTCGTGACACAACGCCCCAAAGATGGATTATTTTGAACAATTTTTAATTAAATAACAAATGATAATTAAACAACTTGTCACAACTACTCCATTTGTGTTCTGATATTTGTAAAAACTAAATCTTCCATATATGGAGTATACGTAGCTTATATCTTATGAATGTAAATTACGCGTTCACTTAAGAATTTTTTACTTTTCTTATCGATTACTAACAACAGTAACAAGTATGGTCGTACGGAGTAACAACTATAGAATCTTTTCTTTTTTCCCTTTTTTTTTCTGAAAACTTCGTATGAAATCCAGTACTTAACTACATATGATCTGATTGTGCTCTCGGAATATATAGGAAGTACATATGCATTTCTTATAATATGCTCTGAATTTATATATCCAAGGCAACGTCACATGGGTTGATTAAATAATACAGTAAGGAATAAAATCATCTCAAATGGTGTCTACGGAGATGCAAAAACATGATATTTGCAAGGTGTTTTTTTCCCTGGTGCAATTACATCAACCCAGGCAAAGTCATAAAGATCAAAATTTACTTTTTTTATAAAAATATATATATATATATATCACATAACTAATTAATACTAAGAATAATCGGTATTCGGGGCAAAAATGAGATTCTTCACGTTAATCTCCTTGATTACTTGTAAAACATTAACTTTTGCATTACTTTGACAGTTTGACCTGGTTTGATTATTACTAATTAAGCTTGAGAGTTGAGACCAAATGATATGATGAAAAGATAAAAATAAACTCCGTCTTTAATAAACTTAAATATAAGTACTTACTAACGGATGATTAAGCTCCGTGATCAAACAATTTATTCATTTAGTTCGGAATTGTGAGGAAACGACAATGGAAATAATCACATTTGAGAGGGCTGAGAACCTGAGGTTGAGAAACTGGTGCGAAAGACATCATGGTCTTTATGGAGGCCTAAAATTAAGAAGGAAGACCGAGGAATGTGGAGAAAAAAAAAAGAAAAAAAAAAAAAAGCAACAATGAGCCAAAGGGGATCGTCCTAAATCCAAGTGCTTCTGCATCTAAAGCAGCACAATAACTAATCAAAAAAAATTATGAAGCCAATGCTCCAACACCAGGCAATAGCAGTTCACCTCACTCAAATGTTACTAGTAGTGAATACTGATAGCCGTAATTGATAACTCATGTCTTTAAATATGTCAACAAAACAATAGAGTAAAAATTATACCATTAGGTTCAGCATAACATGTACATTAAAAATTTTATATAATTTTCTGCCAAAGCATTAGGAGCAATAACTGAATAACTGTAAAGTGCAGGCATTACAAAAAGAAGATTAGAGTGAGTAATATATGATCAATAATCACTGCCTCTATCACCAAATTGCAATGAATGTGGAAATTTCTTTGGAAAATATCCACAGAATCTAATCGACAGAAGTAGTGAGGATCAGACAAGACAAGCACAAACTTTTTCTAACTTCATTCGCAGGTTCTTGAGATACACTATGATGATGCATCCAAATATAATTGGGTATGGAAGATTAGGATAATAACTGACTACAAAAGGTTAAACATGGTCAGAAAATGTCACAAATCCCAAGATATGGTACAAGAAATCAAATAGACCAAGTTGAATTTAACATTAAGGCAGGAATTTGCTTATTTCCATCCATGAAGTAAACAAAAACTGGTTGCAAGCTCAATCTCTTACCCAAATTGAATTTCAGAAACGCTTCAACCTGAAAGTGGTCCCACCTTTTTGAACCTTGGATTGTCCCGCCCAAACTTAGACCCCATCCAATCTCATCTTCTGGAAAGTCAGACATGCTAACTGACCACTGGAGATGATTTGGATTGTCGTTCTTCATTTGTAACCACCCTCGAACTCTAGTGCTTTCATCAAGTTCAGATTCAAGCATCACAGCAACTGAGGGTGAGGTTGCCATTGGTTCCTCAGAATGCTGCTGGCGTCGCAATATGCCTAATGGTATTGCCAAGGCTCTAGCACTGGCCTGTTGTCTTGGTTTTGGCACCTGGTGAAGACCAAAGAGGGAGAGCTTTGCACTCCTTGGGAGCTGACAAACGATCTGACCAAAGGTGCTGAAGCAATGGCCAAATGAACCAGGTAGATCAACAGCTAACTGAGCTAAAGAAGCAACAACATTTGATTTTCTTACAGTGACACCAATTGCACATCCATGATCTTGATGCAGCAGAGGTGGTCCAAAAGATGAGTAATCAGTAAGGCCTTTCTCCTGTCAGATAAATGAAACTAAAATGAATATAGGAGTACAGACCAAAAATTACAATAGAAAAGAGCATCCAGCCATTTTCTCTGTTTAGCAAAGTTATTTCATATACCTGAAATGAAGAATCCGTTGAAGTTGACAAGTCTCTACATCTAGCCCCCATAGGAATTGCAACCATTGAGCACCAGTCAGATATGTTTGCTGTGTAGCTTACTTTAGCAAGAGAAAGAGCACCCCCTAGAGTATTGCTAGAATCTGTGTGGGTTCTCTGATTAGAAATGAACTGAGCCTCAAGAATATCATTCTCACGGACTTTGGTCTCAAAGGAGATTCTCGCTTTTATTCCTGTTTTAACTCCAGCCCTTTTGATTGCATCAACATTCTCCTGGTCGAGATAATCCGTTAAGAATAAAGTTCCCATCACATCAATTTCGCCCCTCACATTGGTACCATAGTCTTGAAACGGACTACCCTTTGAAGTCCTAGAGAAAGTAAGCATTCTTTCCACTTTGTCCTGTCTGTCTCTAAGTTTCATCAAGTCAGAAAATGCTTCTCGCTGCAAACGCTTCAAGATTTCAATCTGAAAATTATATCATGGCAAGAGTTGTAAAGCCCCATCAGACGGCTTGTTACCTATGAAAGCAACAAATCTGTCAAACATCAATTCACACGCCATGACATCTAAAGCCATTTTGCATTTATAGACGCCACACCTAGCAATTGGTGACAAAAAGTCACATAGCCTAAATCAATAAAATCATTCAAGAGAAGATATATTTTTTCAACAACCATTCATTTCATTGTTACACTTCAACATCTAATCCTGCGTTTTTCTGTAAAGTAGCATCTTATTGTTTTTCCCCTTACACTCCTTCAAGTCTTAATACAAACCCTGACAAAGATTGTCTAAATTAGTGAACAAAATGGTGTACATTAGTAGGTAATTTGATGAGTGGCAAATAACAATCAATTTATGCTAAAGCATTTGCAATCTTTGTCATATGGTAGATGGTTTATACACATCTATTGAAACAAAGAGCGAATTTCTCACATTGACCCACGGACAATGCAAGGGTCTAAATGATTACGATCAAAGCTTAAACACATACAGCAACTTCGTTGGAAGCCTAATTGACATCCCAAATCGCTTGGACAAGGACCTAAATGATCATATTCAAATTTTAACATAAGCATTCGATACCACGGAAAAAAATCCTTACAAACAACAGGGAAGCTCCCATATTCAAATACCGACATCTTTCAACAAGGAATGTCCCAAAAATCAAAAATTGTAAATCCAACAACATAGCTAATAAAGAATATAAACGTGGACCGGCTAAAATCATAATGTCCGCGTAAAATTGGCCGAAACAAGAGCTATTCAAGCAATTAAGATCAAAATTGACACAATCAAAGCAACAATAATTCGCATATAATAAGCTGGAAACAAGACCAAATTCAGCATTTTACAACATTGCAGCATGAAATTGGAGGAATGATTAAACAGAATTGAGAAACCAAAAGGTACCGGATTTTGACGGGACTTATTCTGGCGGCGGCGAGACACGCCGGAGATGAAATCTTGGCCGGATTTTACAAATGACTTTAAATTATCGACAATAGAAGCAACTGGGTCCATTTGGAAAACCCTAAACCTTAGAATAACAGGGTTTGAAGAGTGGATTGAAAGTAAAAATGGTGTAAGTTTTCGAATTTTAAATTCCGTTGCGAGTCGTGCGATAGAATGTTGAAAAACTTCATGAGAGAGAAAGAGGGAGAGGGAGCGGCAGGAGAGTCATGGACTGAAGGTTGATTAAGGCCCACTTTCATGGGCTTTTCCTTTTATTCGTTACTTCTATATTAGTTTTTGTACCTGCCCATAAGTTAGCTTTTCAACTTTTGTTTTGGTCTTGGCTAAAGTTTTACCCCCACCGTTTCGTAAATATCGCAACACTTTGACTTTTGCTCTATTCATATGTTTACATTAAAAATACTTTTTACCAATACATAAAATAACATATGTTGACATGTAAAATATATTTGGATTAGTCTTTATGTATATTTTTATCATATTAACTTTTTATACTTCTTAATAGTATATAATTTACAAATATTCCCTTTGTTTTTTTTTTAGGAAATATAATTTACAAATATTAATGGTCAAAGTTGTGTAATGACATGTGTGCCAGTCAAAGTGTTACGATTATTATAAAACGAAGGGTGTAATTACTTTCTTCTTCTATTTTCTTAAATTGTACTCCGATCCCTTCTTTCATAATAATTGCAATATTTTCCGTTTTCATTCATTTCAAATATTGTAATATTTTTTTATTTGGTAAAGTACCACTAATACCTCTTTTTCATACTATGTGCAACATTTACTCAAATAGATGCTACACATTATGTGCAATGCTTTTATTTCTTTTTTAAGTTGCCATCTCTCTCTATTTCTCTCCTCATCACATGCATTCCCTACATTTCTCTCTCAATTTTACACTTAAACGAATTTTGCCTTAAAGTCCGTGTCAAGGCATTTGTTGCACATGATATGAAACGAAGATAGTATTAGTGTCTCTCTATACCAAACTCACGCACTTGCACTACTTTTTTTCACTTATTTCTATCTATTACTAACAATTGATCTGAATTATGTAACATAGTATTCTTTTTTTCACTAACTATACTTAATATTATAAAAGTTCTATGAATGCTATGAGTTTCTGATTATGCTTCCAAGATTTACCTAAATATCGAGATCAACTATAGAAACATAATTGAACTTCTTAAGAATAGTGAAAATAGAAAATGAAAATTAGAAAGAAGAATTTCAAGTTAAGTTGGCCATGAATATTTAAATTAATTCCAAGAGTCACCACTTCCTAATCTTAATTAATTAAGATAATCTGATTTTATAATGAATAGTCACGATTATCTTCCTTAATTATTCGTAGGAAACTATGAACACACACCTAATCGGGCTAAGCCCGCTCGGTCAAGCGAATAAATTAACGGAAGTGCAATTAGACTCACGCGCTTGATTTGGCTAAGCCCGCCTAGTCGGGTAAATTAACTGTCGAAAGTGTAACTAGATTCATACCCAATAGCCCTATCGAGTCTTACAACTATCAAAAAACAAGTTTGGGTTCGCGCTCCATCGGCCCAAGGTCAAATTCCTTGCCTTTCGTTAATATTCGTTTATGCTTCAAATATTCAAATTTATTCACTTGCTCCAAGCTATACTTCTTCTATTCCACCAATGTGAGACTTCCTACTCAACATCAAGTTATATAGAATAAGCTAACTTTTTCGATCTATTTTATTAATGTGGGGACTTCCTTCCCAACATCAAACTATATAGACTAAACTATACTAAACTATATAAACCAACTTATATTCTACCAATGTAAGACATTTTTTTCCGTTATTAACATACTTATTATGAAAACTACTCCAACACGACCATCTTTTATTGAGTCAATCCTTAGAAATCAACTTAATGCTAAGCATTCCCTATTTTGTCCAACTACACATGATGTATTGTTGTTTCAAGTTAACTTCTACTAGACATATTGCATACTTTTTTTATGAACTTTGATAAGTCAGTTTTAGTCTTGAAAGAAGATAATTGTCCTTCCTTTTGTATATTATACCTATCTTTTTTACACTAATATAGCAAAAAATACATACTTTTTAATTTGGTACTTCGTTTAACCTTAAAAAAAAAAAAAAAAAAAAAAAAAAACAAAAAAAAAAAAAAAAAAAAAAAAAAAAAAAAAGAGAGAAGATGGATAACATGGGCTTTGTAATACCAATTTATATTGTGAATTTCACAAATACTCCCGCGGGTGTGTAATTTTATATATGTGCGGGCTGATATACAAGTAAAACGAATTTGTACGTATTGTAAATGTGAACAAAATAAAATGAAAAAAAATGAATGAAAATCATTACATAGAATGAAGCTACAACAATCAAGACTCAAGAGCAATGCATTGGTATTAATTTCTTACCAATAATGCCGAAAGGAATTATTTAATAACATAGGGAAAAATAAATAAAAAATTATAAAAAAAAAATTAGTACTATAAACATATAGTACTAGTAATAATTTAAGTTGAACTCGATGATGTATCAATAAAGGCGGCTGATATATTTGTCAATGAGCAAGCTAAGGAGAACCTGATAACCTTTTTCAGTGGGATGGTAGCTATCCCAGAATAAGTACTTTGTATCATCTGGACATACTGCATCTAACTTGTTGCACAATAACGACGTTACTTCTATTAACCCTGTGCCACAACAACCCTTCACCACTTGCTCAAACCCTGATTTTTTACAATGGTAGAAAAAAAAAATTATTAAAAATTCCTCACTTTTTTTACAATGGTAGAAAAAATTGCACTCCGTAGTTAACTTGATTAAATTTAGTGATGGTATGGTGAGAATGGAAAAACTAATTAGGGATGCAAATTGCCATATGTATTTAAATAAAACTGAGTGACTTGTGATATTGTCATGAATTTATAAGCTAATATCAACATGAAAATTGTATCTAAATGTTTTTCTAATGCGTGGTCGTGTAAGGCCGGGTTACATAAGGATTGAGATACAATTCATACAAACTATACACATCAATATGCTGAGAGATTATGTTGATTTGTGTTTTTTTTATTTTATTATTTATTTATTTTTTATATGGTCATTATATTAGAAAGATGGGATTAAATTAAATTTCAAATTACAATTATAAGTAGAAAATAAAACAAAAAATGAAAAAAAATAATGAAGAGATCGAGTAAATGGATCCGTAGAGTTTTTAAGACACAACACACAAAGATTCACACCAATGTGATGAGAATATTTAATAAACATTAATTATGATGAGAATATTTGCACATAAAAGTCTGAACTTATTATCGAATTTAATTTCCTCGTACCACTCCATCAATAACTTAACTACGGAGTATTTCACAGGCGGCGACGTCACAGCAAACTTGTCAAGACTTGAATTATATTTAAATACTACTATTTAAAAAATAAAAAAAAAAATAAATAAAAAAAAAAAGGAATTCTACTATTTAACTACTAATACGTTATAGGAATAATGTGTTTGACATTATTGATTATTCCACTCTAATACCGTTAGTTTCATGTAAATTGTTCATCCCATCGCACCCTAAAGATACAAAAAACATGCCTTTACATATCTAGTACCATTCTAAAGTTTGTAAAATTTTTAATGCCCTACTTTGAATGGCAATAATCACAACCAAATATTTACAAATTATGTCATCTTATGTCAAAAACAACTGACGTGTAGAGTCTTTTAAAGGAATTTAAACATGAAAACCACACCAACTGACAAGTTTGGTGTTTTGTATGTGAGAACTTTCGGTGGGGATCGGATCGGATAAGAATTTAATTTTTTAATAGTCAAAAGTACAAACTGTTGGGTTTGTTTCTTTGGCTTGGAATTTTAGGCCATATATTTTTAACAAAGAAATTGCCATTAAAGTATATCTAATAGAATAAATTCTTTTGAGGCCTAGTCCCTCCTTGCACCAAAAAAATAATAGGGAAGAGAAGAAATGTTGAGAAGAATATTTTTGTAAACTTATAATTTATTATTAGTCATATTTATATATACTCGACCACAAATTCTAACTTTTAATTTCAATTTTAATTCAATTCCCAAATTTCTCAATTTTCACGTACCAAACATCCCTATATACATTAGGTTTTAAATAATTCAATCCAAGACAACCACTCATAACTTAAAACACGACTTTAAAAAACAATGCATTATGTGATAATGAAAAGTGTTATGGATTGACTTGTCAAGGATTACCACCTACCAAATATGTTGTGATGATAATTAAAGGCGAAGAAAATAGAATAAGTTAGGGAGAGTACCGTATTTAGCCGGATTCTGAATAATATCAAACAAAGGGGTGTAAATGTCAATATAGACAACCCTTGAGTTAGGAAGCTTTTGAGTGAGAGAATCAAGTTCACGAGACAGCTTAGAATTGAACAATATAGCAGCTTCGTTGTAATTTGCAGCACATTCTCTCACAATTCCTCCTCCTAGGGTTCTTTGTGATGGCACACATCCTATGGGAGGTGCACCAAATACTGCTATCCTTCGCGCCCCAAGTCCATATAACTCCTGTTCATTTTCAAATTCATATGTATTATCAATAATAATTGCATTACATACGAAATTAATTAATTAGGTCAATTCTAGTAATAATAAGTAGAAGCTCATTGTGATCGATATATATGAGTTTGAATGAAACAATTGATTTGATATTTTATGTAGGGGTTAGATGATGATCAGCCTAAACTGTGTTAAGAAACCTAACCTTACAAAAAAATACTGTGTTAAGAAACCTAACCTTACAAAAAAATAATTACGCAAAATAATATTTTAAACTTAAAAGTACTTCGTATGTAATATTTGACTACTTTCTCTCTATTTTTTTTTTTATGGCAACGTAACCTTGCTTGCAAGTTGCAACTTTAATTTTTCAAGCTACAAATAAACTATAACATTGAATTGAAATTTTCCCAAGCAATAAATTTGTGATTTCCTCAAAAAAAAAAAAAAAAAAAAAAAAAGATAAATAAAAATAAAAAAAAAGAAAAAAGAAAAAAGAAAAAAAAGTAATGAATTTGTGATAAAGGAAGTATATAATTAAGGAAAATGATAAATATAGCCCTAAGGGCTATGTATAAGAAGCTAAAAAAAGGAAATATTAAGGATAAATTAGCATCAATTACACCGGTCTACATGTGATTTTGTCATGAATTCTCAATTTAATTCCATTTTAGGAAGTATATTTAATGCTTATATATAGCACTAAGGGCTATATATATCATTACCCTATAATTAATACTTTTCTTTTTAAGACAAAGCTATTATATATACTTCCTCTGTTCTTTTAACTTTACCTGTTTCTTTTATCACGCTTGTCAATGCAAAACTTTAGCGATCAATAACTTTAATCCTCCATAAGTAAAAATTACAAAAGTTATATATTATGATAGTACATATTGAGACGAATTCAAAAAAATCCCACATGAATATGTTTTTCCTTACATATTATTCACGAAAGACGATGAAAGGAAAGATGGAGAATAGTGTAAAAGTCAAAGCGGGTCAAGTAAAAAAGAATGGAGAAAATATCTACTTGTATATATATCTACTTGTATGATATTTTTAGTAATTGGATGATTTGATCTTGGAGAGTGAGGTGTAAAAAGTCAGCTTAATTAATTAAGCTTACTAAGGAGGTCACGAACTCAATATGCTAAGGGGCCATTTAGTTTGCACAGGGTAAACGGAAAGGAATGAACAAAGGGAAAGAAAGAGAATGGAATGAAAAACCATTCCACGTACAATGTTGTTTGGTTTACAAAAAAAACAGAAGGAAACAAACCACTAGTCGACCCACCACACCACCACCATAGAACCACCTATTTCCTTCACTTTGACACTTTTCCAGCCTCCCCACCACCCAGCCTCACCCGCTGGCCCTCGCCACACATCCCCCACCCTTCGTCGCCCGTCCTCTCTCCCCGAAAAGCGCTCCCCCTCCCTGAAAACATATACCCACCCGCGAAAAACCCTAGAAACCCCTTCCCCTCCTTGTACAACCGTCGACCGGCGGTTTTACAAGGAGGGGAAGAGGTTTCTAGTGTTTTTCGCGGGTGGGTGAATGTTTTCAAGTGAGGGGGAGCGCTTTTCCGGAAGAGAGGGGTGGCAATTCGTGGTTCTCGCCGGGGAGTGGTTCCTACGGGAAGAGGTCGAGGGAGGCTAATCTATCGGAGTTTCTGCCAGAGGCTTCATCGCCGGTGGCCTTTAGTGGTTGATTCCGGTGGCCTTTAGTGATTACTGCCGGTGGTTCTGGTTTTCTAGTGTTGAGGATAGAGGGTGAAGGTGATGGTCATGGAAAGGGAATGGAAAAGTGTAGGGGGGGTGAGGAATTAGTGTGGACTAAAATTAGGTGAACTCAAAAATAAAAATGGGTAAAGGGAATGACAAAAAGTAACAAACAACAACAAAGGAAATTGAGCCTATTCATTCCCTTTCCCTTTGATTATTACCCCCAACCAAACGGTTCCTACATGATTGGGTGTGACTTTTTCATATTTATGTACGAATAGTGATACAGTTTATTATGTGTCCCCAATATAATTAAAATGGTTGATCAAACACTACCGTACCATATAACTTTATTATTTGACATTATTATTGTCATGTACAAATATGTCTTTACTATAAATTCACGGTCATGACAATGACCATTTTTCATGGCTTTAATAAAATAGATGAAGGATCTATATTCTATAACAACCATATTTACTATGCCAAAGATGAGAATAGAACATTAAATAGGAATTTTAAGGGTATAATATGGTGGAGTGGTATTGAATAGTAGTCCCTATTTTAGTCTTTTGAGGGTACATGAATGGAAGCTTAATTAAATTTAGAGGGGATAAAAAAACGAGCTAGGCTGGTCCTATGAATAAAATCTTGTGTCCAAATCCGTCAGGCTTATTGGGCCAAAACGGTCTTTTTCGAGCTGGGTCATTGATGATCATCTCTAATTAAATTCATCAATTTATTTTTCAAATAGATATACAGTGTATGTGACTATATTATTAGTTGTCATGTTGATGCTTGAATGCTAGCTTGACAACTAAAATAGAATGGATGCGGAAGTAGTATGAGGTAAAACATGTATTAGGATTTTGTAAGGGACTAATTATGCAAACGAGTGCACATACTTCTAGGCATGCTCTGATCTAACTTTAACCAATATCTTAATGTAAAAAGTTAACCCGTCAAAAAAAAATATTAAAAAAAAAATAAAAAAAAATAAAAAACACTTAAGTCTTACCTCTATAAATTTACTTCCTCACTTACACAGATAAACAATAAAATTAAGGCCATGTTCTGATGGTCAGTATTGTTCACCATAAAAACAATAATACAAGAATTCAATAAAAATATAATTTCAATTTAGTAAAAATCAGTAACTTTAAAGAAAAAAATATAATAGAGAATTTGTTAAAATAATTTCAGTTCTTGTAAAATTAATTTTAGTTCATTAAAAGTAATTTAAGTTTAAGAAAAATAATTTCAATTCATTAAAAATAATTTCAGTTCAACAAAAATAAAGTGAGAGAACGGGCCTAAATATCACATTAAAACTCGTTAAAATTAAAATTATTACCTTAAACCAAGTGTAAAACAATAACTAAAATTAAGGTAGCGCTATATGTAGCCCTAAGGGATAAGAATAAGCATTTAATATCTATCCTAATTAGTATTGTATTAATTTAGAAATGCATGACAAATTTACACGTACATCAATGTAACTAATGTTATATTTTTATTTATTTTTCCCCACTTTTAGCACCTTATATGTAGCTCTAAGGGCTATATTTAGCATTTTCCTTAAAAACATCGGATGCACACTTAAGAAACACAACCAAAAACATACAAGTAAAAACATTTCGATACCTGGATGAATGAAGAAGCAGAGTGAAGCATAAGATCAGTGTAAGAAGGAATATCATAATGAAATCTTCTGAAAGGAGTACCAAAATAAGTGTTGGCAATATCATCACTTCCAGCAACAACAAAGTAAACAGTGTTTGCCAAAATGAAATTGGTCTTCTCAACCCCAACTAGTTGCTTCACTTTCTCTATGTATTCTTTAAAATGTTCTAGCTGCTGTGATAGTGATATCACTGACTGCATACATCCAACAACATAGAAAACAATTAGACATAACCAAAATTAATTAGAATAAGGAGATGTAGGTGAGATCTAACAGCTAATTATGAGACCAAATACACCAATCAAGGGGGATCACAATATTATTTGTGGTTATAATAGTGTTGAAATTTTAAAACATTCGTTTTCTCCATTATTCCAAATTATGTTAATTGGAATATTGACTTTAATACTAATTATGTGTGACATATTTTTTATATTGAATAAGCATATATGTGAAAAAAGATGGATAAATTATAGGAGATGAAGTAAAAAATTAAAGCGGTCAGCCTTAAAGAACAAATGTGGATAAATTAAGAGAGAGACTGGAAATATGTACTCCGATCCATACTTCGTAAATATTGTGGGAGGAGGTGATAATAAAAATATAAAATTTAAGTAAAAGTGAGCTTAATTTTTAAAACATCCCCAAATGAAAATAAGTCATACTTATTAAAAATGCTACTGATAAAAAATTATTTGTGCATTTTGTTGCAATTAACTTAGAACTGAGTAATTAATGTACTCTAGAGTCAATGAATTTTTATTATTACTTTTAAATTTTTTTGCCTTGAAGTTTCATGAAATTATGAAAGAGCTTACCGCAACTTTAGAAGTCAAAGGGTCAAAACCAGCAGCTCCAGAAGCAAAACTGACACCGGTTAGGAGATCATCTGGACTTAAATTGGCATCCAAATAAGCTGGTACATAATCCTTTATTGATAATTCTTGCGCTGCAATTAACAACATACACCCCATATAACATATTGTGTACATTACTAAGACCAATCAAGTACAACCCAAACAAATATTACAACAATGAGCCACATTTGATGTTGAGATAGCTAGTAATTCGAGTATTGTACAAGTACTCTAACACTTTAAATTTCAAGACAAATTAAGCCAAACAATGTGAGTTACTTGTGAAATTTTTACCAACAAAAGTACTCCGTATTATATGAGCTACTTAGCTTGTGTCAATAACATGTACATTATTCCCTAGTATGATAATATTATTACTCAATTTGAGTTATTTATTTCCTTTTTTGTTCAGTTACGTATTAATTATACGAATGAATAATATGATTAATACTGTATATTGGCTATGAGCCTCACATACGAGTTATAACTATGAATGAAAATATGACAAATGTCTTTCATGACATGTAATCTCATCTTAACCATCAACCAACTATATTTATTCCCTAAATTTGATCTTTAAAACACATCAACGATCAATTACATCAAATGAAAAGCCATGCATGTACTCGTTGGCATTTGGCAAGACGTGTATGTAGACCAACTATGCAATACAACATACAAGTAGTTTTCAATCTTTTCATATAATAATAAATAGAATAAAATTAAAAATAAAAATAAAAATAATGAGTGGCTTCAAAAAAACGAAGAATCGGTCTTATACAATTGCAAGATGATGGAGCTTTCTTTGTGCATAGACCACTCTATCTTAACTCTCAGCTCACGTAACACTTGTGAGTTATCACATTAAGCTACCGTATAATTTTACATAAAACCTAGCTAAGTTCCGATTTTTAACTTTTCGAGTTCAATAGCGCTTTCCTATTAAGTATTAACCAATGATTATGCAACAACCTCATACTGTGATCAATAGTTATATATATGGGTACAAATTATGTACACAAACCCTAAACAAAAAGGTGTATATATATATATATATATATATATATATATATATATATATATATATATATATATATATATATATATATATATATATATATATATATATATATATATATATATATATATATATATATATATATATATATATATATCACACTAATTGAATGATGAATATGCATGGTTGTCAATTAAGCCAATTGTGGAAATCACCGCTCGGCTACTCTATTTTTCTTAGATAGGTCTAGTGCTTATGTACACGCATGTATGTCAAAATGAAATTGTTATACACAATTTTAGTCGTGTACACAAAAATTTTGGTGTTTAGAGAGCCACAAAGGCTAATGATTAATCGATCACATACAAAATCCTTTTAAACTAGGAGAGAAGCTCTAACCAACTGAGCTATCTTTCGCTCCCGGACTTAATTAGTAATTAAAGACTTGTTCTAAGCTCTCAAAAGAATAAAATAGAAAAAGAAATACAATTAAGTAATCACTATCAATCACTGCTTAAACTGTTACACTACTTTGAAAGGATACATAATAATCAGGCAACCTAAAACAATGAAACTTGCGTGAACCTTTAATTCTTTTTCTAATTTAACGCTTATGCCAAAGGTTTGGTGTTTTGCGAAAATGGAAAAAATCAATGTATTTAGTTGATTACACTTTAAATTTTTCACCTAATTTTCTCTGAGTAATAATAACATTGTGATAAGACAAATAATTGGCAGGCATGTTTTTCATAAATCATAGTACGTACAAGTATAGTAATACTGCCCTAAGCAAAGGGACTTTTCACCTGAGCCATTTAGGGCCCGGCCCCCGATAAATTATAATTATTAATTAATTAATAAACATAAATAACCTTATTTTACTTATAATATATTAGAACATAGTGATTAGTTTTGAGCGAGAGATAAAAGATTAAATCACGACCCTCCAATATCTTTGGTCAATATCCGCCATTGACCTTAAGTGTGATTTTACACTTAGCTTTCAACAACTAGCAATTAACAATCTTAATTAGGCACGGAGTAGTTTTTATTTTGGTGTACTGTAGAGCAATCACAGTTATGCACTTATGCAGTTACGCCCCAGGATTTATTTTTTTCTTTTGTATATTTTTTATCCTACTTTAATTTCATTTACTATCATTCTGAAATGTACGTTCTTTTTACCTACAAAGTTTTATGCATATTCTTTTGTGAATGAATAGAAATATGATTGTAATTAATATGTTCAACTTGTAGTATTGACTATTGAGAGAAGTAGGCGCAACATGTTGCATAAAATAAATAATTTGGGAAAACCATAAAATGTGATTTCGTTGTCAAGAAAAAAAAAAATCGTATAATGTGATTTGAGTAGGTGGTTGTATGCATGCCAATAAGCACCTAATTAGTTGATATAAAATGAATTTATATTGCGATCATATAATAACCTCGCCCGCTTCCCCACAACCCTGTATCTAATTCAATTTTTACTAGTGTATATTCAAATATGATTGTAATAATTATTGTTAATTATTTGACAGATTTTATTTCCATTAGCTTACAATACTCACACAAACACACACAAAAATGTTACATACATATCGAATTTCGCACGATTATTTTAGATTAATAACCTTAGTTATTAATACGATGGAGTTCATTTTAGATTTATTAATAAAACAATCTTTTAAAAATAATCTAAGGCTAGACACTTGAGGTTCTTCATCACTCAGACATTCAAATGAGATGATACGTGGGTATAATTCGTTATATTCATACTCTCCCTAATACTTCATAAAACAATAATTTTATTTTGGTCATCCATTTGGTCAATATATATATATTATGTGTAGAGATATGGACCAAAGTAAATGTCAAAATTTATACCCGTCATGGGCCACCCCCTCTTCTCACTAATACTTCATAAAACAATAATTTAATTTTAAAATAAAAGTTTAGATTGTGATATTACTAAAGCCAAAACCATAAACCCCCAAAAAAATCCCAAAAATAAAAGGTTTAGTAAGATAAAAAAAAAAAAAAAAAAAAAAATTATATGCATGTGAGATGATCATATGCATGAAGTACTAGTACATATGCATGTGTTATCATTCATACCTAAAAAATCAGTAGGGATTCTTCCATTGCTGAACCTGCCAGTAGGAATGCCACCCATGAAATCCTGACCATAAGGAGGGTGATTACACTTGATAATCGTCTTGATGTTGTTATTGTTCCCGGGATCAATGATCGAATCTCCGAACGCCAGGATCGCAGTAACCGTCACATTCGGAGGCAGCTTTACTACTGCCACCGTCGGGGTGGTGGTAGAGAAAATGATAAGGAGGTGAAAGACTAGACATAAACATAGTGAACAAGAAGTTGAAGAAAAAGAATATTGCATGGTTCCAAGCTAGTTAACTAGTAATAATAATTTTAATAATAAGAAAATTTAATGAAGCTCTTTTTCTTCCTCTAAAGTTGGAAAACAAGGTTGGAAACTACCTTTCAATGCTGACTTATTTTTATGTGTGGCTAGGTATGTTTTTTGTCGCATTTATATAAGAAATGAATCAACCATTTTATTTAAAGCTTGTATATTTATTATTTTATGAATTAATTACTGAGGTCAATATATATATATATAATGTAATTAAATTAGACCTACCTTACATAAATTAATCTACAAGTTGTTTCTTTTTTTTTTTTCTTTCTTTTATTTTACACCTTACATTAATTTTATAAATACTCATAATGACTCAATTCAATGATAAATTGATGATACGTGTGATGAAGAAGCTTCTAAATATAAGAAAGTCTGACCAAATGGATGTGTTTGCATGCAATTTGTCTTTACTTTAGATTTCTTCATCAATTAGATTTATGTTTTAGTATTATAAATACACTTTAGGTTACACAATTTTATTTATCTTAATCGGCAACAAACACGTTGGATTGTGACTTTGTGAGTACTTAAAACCTTAGATTTTGTCCGATCTCCTCAATTTAAATATATTTCAGTAAAATTAAGATAATTCACCAACTATAAGTTCATTCAAGAAGAAAAATTTTATCTTGAGCTTAAACTAGCATAAGTACAGTTAACAAAAACATAATTTCAGCATAAGAAAATTAAGTTCAACAAAATTAAGATGAGAATGTAACCTTGTGCATTAATTAGACTTATAGAAATTAATTAGACATTTAGCATAGGTATCACAAGCTCAACCTCCTATTGTAAAAAAGTTGCTACCAAATCCAACTTTGACCGTCAAATTTTTGTAAGAAATGAAACCAATTGTTTTTTCAACTATATGGAAATTCTTATTTTATACTCCATAATACAAATCTAGCTAGATTTACATGTTAATGAATTATGTTTAATAACTTATTTTGTTATATTTTAAGAAAATATATATTTTAAAGATATATTATCCCAACAATTATACAATTATAGAAATCATAATAGTTGCACGTTGGCAAACATGAAAAGCAAACATAAACAACTAAAAAAAGAAAGCAAAGTAACTAATCCATCTGTAAGCTTGTTCTTTCCAAGATCATTGTTTAATTTATATAATTAATAATTTTATTTTTATTGTACATAAAATAACTATCAACCCACAATGCAAGGATCATGAAAAGGCAGTCTTTCATATCTTGTTATTGAATTTTCATTTATGCAAGAAATTGCAAGACTAACAATCACGATCGGAAAATTCATTATATATAATACTTGTTGGTGGAAGCCTTAATCGGACAACAACCACCTATAATATACAACAAGTACATTAATATCTTTTTAATTTATATATTTTCTCTTCGTCTTTTGAACAATTCAAGTTTAATGCTTAAAAATAATGTAAATCTTATAGTGTGTTGACTAGCTCTCGAGTCCATTAATCATTGCATGTCGATCTAAATATCAAAATTCAAAAATAAGTAGGTATATTAATTTACAGTCAGTTGGTCTTGTTAAAATAATAATGGTGGTGATTGGTGAAGTAAAACTTGCTTTAACTTTGTGAATTTGTGATTTCCCAATTATTTTATACTATAGTCAATGGTAAAACTTGTAAACAAAATTTTATAGGGCCAAATTAACCTATTCACTCTTGTCATAAATCACTTTTTAATGGATATTGGATAATAAAACGAGTCGTAACAGTAACAGTAATCATAATATAATCATAATAATAATAATAATAATCTGATTAACTCGTATTGTATTCAAACTAAAAGATGAAAAGCTTAAATCCGTATTAATAAAAGTATACATCTTTGTTCTTTTACCTTCTTTCATGTGACAGTTTATCAATTTCTAGGTCAGATTTCTTTTTCTTTTTTTTTCCTCACTATCTATCATTATCATTATTATGAAGTATATATTCATACGTAGTTTTTTTTTGTATGCTCTTTCTTTCTCACTACAAAGTAACATACAATCCGTCAATGCTGTCGTAAGTCTTACTTGTAAGTGTAAGTACGGTCCCCCGATGTTCATAATCAATTATCCAAATTACATTGTAACAAATTAAATATCCATGAATAATTTAATATTGACTAAAAAATCTAAATTATTATGTTAAGATCGATATTAGACATACACATGCATGGTACAAACTACATGCTAGTTAGGCTCCCAAATAACGTGTGCAACTCTACGTTTAGCATTTAACTAACATCAACATCCAACATTATATAGAATTGGACAAATGGCCTCAATTTTCTTTGCTACATAATTAGAGGAAAGATCACTAATGTTGCTTATACTAGCTACCTTCTCGTATTTTTTTTTTTTTTTAATATGTATGATAAAGGGTCTAATCGGACCAAAATTCCTCATGGATGGTCAATCTAGTCTAGGTTAGCGAGCTTAAACACTTTGGGGTGGTCAATCTAGTCTAGATCAAGTAATCACCTCCCCAAACTGTCCCTAATAAGAATTATACCTCATCCTTAAGGTTAGCATATGCTCTTGTTTCTATTAGACCAAGCTTAGTTCAGTGCACATACCCTATTAGTATCGATCATAGTTCTATAAATTTTTGTATTGTATTATTCTTTGTAACTAGTGATGAATACAATAATTAGTAAGTGAGGTAACAGTTGACAGTTGGGAAAGACTAATTGACACTCACGAAAATGACGAAAGTATAATAATCAATCTTTAAATTAAATTATGTCTTATCGCAAGCACATTTATTAGTATATACAAGCTAAGCTTTTCAAAATAGTATACCCAATTAAAGTTACTTGGTATAATAGAGGACCTAATAACAGGTCACAGGTGTCATCTATCTATTCTAAATTTCTTAATCATCTACGTGTTCATTCATTCTCTTAATTAGTAGTAGCTTGTTAGTTCAACGGCAATTTAGGTGACAGCTCAACAATACAACTTAATGTAGGGTAACACATCACTATAATCCCTTCATATTACTATGATGTTTCATTCAATATATGTTATATATCTATACACCAAGCAAACTTGGTCTAGTGTTTGCATCTCACAACCAAAAGGTTGTGGAATTAAACCCCACTAAAAGCGCTTTGGGGTAGAGATTTTATTACCTTCCTCCCACTTTAAAGTGCCTAGCCTGCTAACTCGGGTCGGGAGGACCTATGAGAGGTTCCGACCTATTAGAGCCCTTCTCCTTACCAACCAAACTGGTGTTGGTGCCCTACTAGCAACCTTCGGCTCCCCATGTCTACTTGGATCAGTGGTGGTTCCAGTATGGGTTTAGTGAGTTCAGGTGAATCCATACTGGCTCCGAAAAAAAAACGAATAGGTTTTTTTTAAAAAGAAAATAATTAAAACTAGGGTTAAATATTAAACTATGCAATAATATAGAATACGCATCGCGCGGACCAGTGGTTAGAGCTTTATTTTTAGGAGAAAAGTCAGGGGTTCGAAATCGACTAACTCAGCATCTCGTAAATTTAGAATGTTAATATATACTTCCTCCGTTCTTTTTTACTTGACTCGCTTTGACTTTTACACTATTCATCACCCCCCCCTCTCCTTTGACCATCTTTTGTGAATAATATGTAAGGAAAAAAATATTCATGCGGGATCTTTTTTAATTCGTCTCCATAAGTACCATATTATAATATATAACTTTTATAATTTTTACTTATGGAGAATTAAAGTTATTAATTGTTAAAGTTTTGCATTGGCAAGCGTGATAAAAGAAACTGATCAAGTAAAAAAGAACAGAGGAAGTATATATTCTGGCATTGTGTTTTACAGTTTGGAGATTAAAGAATTAGAGTATTTTTTGGAAAGAATGTGTGTCAAAATCACAAAAATCATAGAAAGTCGAGTTCAATTGTAATTTAGTTAAACTTTTTTTTTTTTTTTTTTTTTTTTTGTAATTGACTTGTATTGTGCACACCCGAATTAGCAAATGCAAATTTTATTTTGAATCATGATATTTGATATCCCTATATTTGTTTGGAGAGTCCGAACCCATAACGAGCAATTCCTGAAACCGCCACTGACTTGGATCGAACACAATTTATTTGTTCTTGCAAATTCTTTTTATTCGGGGATAAATTGTAGCTATGGTCTTTTCTTTGTCCATAGCAAATTTAATTTACAATCATGCCTGATCTATTTCTTTATTTCTGCCCACAAATTCATTTTGTATAATTGTAATATCTCAATGTTTGGATATGGGGTGCGTGCACCTACCAGGAACCGAGTGTTTGACGCTCGCTTTGACATCTTTGTGACTTTGTCACATTTTCCAGTGACATTTATTTAGATGAAAGTCTTTAAGTTGGAATATTCAAGGGGGTAAAAAGCTCGAGGCTCTTGCCAAATTGATTCATTTAAAAAATAAACATAATCCGGATATCATTTTCGTTTTGGAAACTAGAACAATCATAATAATAGCAAAACTATTTTAAAAGCCCTTCATTTTGAGAACAAATATATTATTGATCTTGTTAATCATTCTGGTGGTTTGTGAGTCTGTTGGAACAATACTAATATAACTATGAAAAGTATTGACCTTAAGGAGAGATGTGCTCATTTGTTAGTAAATTTTAAGCCTTTAAATAAATATATGATTATCACAGGGGTATATTGTCTTGCACAGAAGCTGAAAAACCTTTGTTTTGGAATTGTTTAACCTCTTACGGTATTAACACAAGTCTGCCTTAGTTTGTCCTTGGTGATTTTAATGAGATGTTATTCCACTCGGATAAATTGGGAGGTAGAGCATTGTCAACAACTCCAACGTCTACCAGCTTTACTTGCTAACACTAATTCCATTGAGGTACCTTGCACTCAAAATGCTTTTTCTTGGAAGCAATAATGCCAAAAATAACAAGTAATATATGAAAGGTTGGATAGAGCCATCTCCAACCATCCTTTTAATCCCGTTTTTCCTAATAGTTTATCGTCATATAGTACCTTCATAGTATTGGATCATATCCCTCTTCTCTTTGACTCACGTTTCAACCCCGCTACTTTTATGCCAAGACCATTTCGTTTTAAAACTACTGGACTCTATATGCAGAATCACACACGATAACTAAAAAAATGTGGC